ACGTTTTTGGACCGCAGATCTTCCGCCCAAACAGGGGCTCCATAGAGGGCCATCGATCGTACGACCCCCATGTAAAGCCTCCTGCAGGAGCCGCTTGGTCCCCCCAAATTTGGCAGCAACCTTGACAGGGCAGCCGCCACCGAGCGCAAAGTAGGGGCAAGTCGGCGAAAATGCTCGACAAAGTTCCATCGGGAGTCTAAAACAAGACCCAGATAGCGCATGGATCCTTTGACCCCGATGGTGACTCCTCCCACTACAATGGAAAAGCCGGTAGGCGGCCCCCGTCGCGGGCCGTGGAAGAGTATGGCCTCGGACTTGTTGAGAGCCACCTCTAGTCCCAACCGCCGAATACGACCCACCACTTGCGCGACCCCAGCCGTGGCCAGCACTGCCGCTTCGCGATACGTTTCGCCGAGAGCGGTGACCAGGGTGTCATCAGCGTAGCACGTTGCCGCAACTCCGGGGAGGAGTGCGCCACGCAACACCCAGTCATAACCGATATTCCACAGGATCGGCCCTAGGACCGAACCCTGTGGAACACCGCACGACATTTCTCGCCGGAACCATCCCCACTTCCCCGGGAAGACGACTTGTCGCTGTTCTAAGTAGGCCCCGATAATGCTCTGGAGGTAAGGAGGCACCCGATGGTATACTAGCGCCGTCCTTATGCAACTCCAGGGCAAGGTGTTGAAGGCGTTGGATATATCAAGAGATACCGCTAGCAACACCTCGCCCCGCGAAACCGCTCCCTCCGCTTGGGCTCTCACGCGCATAATTGCGTCAATAGTGGAGCGCCCGTGGCGGAAACCAAATTGATTATCCGCCAGATCTGGCCCCACCGTGCGCAGGTGGCGGGTAAGTCGGTCAGCGATCACTCTTTCGAGGAGCTTCCCGATCTCATCCAGCAGCACGATTGGACGATAGGCGGATGGACTGTCCGCCGGGCGCCCAGGTTTCTGTAGGAGGACCAGTTTTCCGGTCTTCCAAATAGCCGGAAATTGGTTCTCGCGCAGGCATGCGCTAAAGAGACCGCACACTCGGGGATTTAAGGCCTTCATAGCCAGTACCCACGCACGGCCAGGGATGCCATCTAGTCCCGGGGCAGTCTTCTTCCTCCTCATTTTTTCCACCGCCGTCTGGAGCTCCGCCGGAGTCACCTCAGGTACTCCCTCCTCCGCCGTCCCGTCGTGGCGCAGCGTAGGAGGCGGATCCATAGATGGGGGCGTGTGCTCCACTCTGTGCGGAAACAGAGCGGCCACAACCTCCTGCAGCAGCGAGGGCCGAAGAGTCTGAGTGAGTGGCGGGGCCCATGGCCTGAGTTTCGCCCTGACCATTCGGTATGGGCGCCCCCACGGGTCCATGTTCAAAGTCTCCAGCATCTCGGTTCTGGCAGTTTCTTTGGCCATCGAAATTTCCCGCTGCAGGACCTTTTTGGCCACTCTGTACGCCTCGTACAGCTCCGCCTCACGCGCGAGCTCTTCTGCGGTCGGCACGATGTTTCCGGGGCGGCGATGGTACCTCCTGCGGTACCTGGTGTATCGGCGGCGCACCACCACGCACTCATTACGCAGGTGCGCGATATGTGGCGACCACCAGTACACTTGTACTCTGGCTCGTCCGAGGCGAATTCTGGGCATGGCCGCGTCGCAGATTTGTGACATTGCCTCCCGGAGATCCTCCGCTTCTCTGTTAACATTGTTAGGCCTTCCCGGTACAGAAACCCAGGCCTGAACAATTGAGGCCTCCAGGAGGACCTCCGCATCCAATCGCTTAAGTGACCAACGCGGCCCACTCCAATCAGGACCCTGCACGAACGGCACATCGGAGGTCTGGGGGGAGACGTCAAACCGGATGTAACGATGATCCGATAGAGTCTCCACCCCTACGACGACACGCCAGTCCCGGACACGGCGCGCCAGTGCGGGGCTAGCAAATGATAGGTCCACTATGGACCCGCCCATCTGGCGCACACACGTGTGTTCCGAGCCCCGATTGAGTAAAAGCAGGCCGTTTTCGATGGCCCACTCATCCAGAGATGCACCCCGGGCATTGGTTGCCGGGGAACCCCAAGCCGTGGATTTGGCGTTGAAGTCCCCGAGTACCAACACAGGATGAGGATGATAGCTGCGGACAGTAGTACCCAACGCTAACAGGAAGTCTTCCCATTCTGCAAAGGGGCGGTTGGGGGAGAAATATATCCCGACAACGACGAAGTCCCCAAGTCGTGCCGCCACGAAACCTTGGCCCCTCATTAAGCTTTCAGGGAGCCCTGAAGTAGGCCGCACAATTAGGGTTACCAAGCCTTCGATGTCGCTCACCCAATCCGAACGAGGAGCTACGAAATAAGGCTCGGCAACCACCGCGATATTGATTGACCACTGCGCCACGCTCTGGAGGAGTAGATCCTGAGCCCTGGCGCAGTGATTAATGTTGGCCTGGAGGAGACGTATGGGAGCCATTAATTTTCGTCCATTGCATTCTCCTCTACTCCTGTGGGATCCGCTGTAGGAACAGGGGCACCCTTTGTCTCCGCGCTTGGCTTATTGGGCGCTGGTCCTCGAGCCCCCTTGCACGGCTGGTGGTCCGCTGCCTTGCCAGCGTCGGCGCACTTGAGGCAGCGCGGTGCAGCCTGGCATGAAGCCGCCTTGTGGCCGGGCTCACCGCAGCGAAAACAGCATCCACTGCGGTCCACAGCTGAGGTGCAGCTAGCGCCGATGTGACCTTCGGCAAAGCATCTATAGCATCTGCCCGGCCCTGTGTCGTGCAGGCGGACCCGCACAGCCATCCAACCCACAAGTAGGCGCCCTGCACTCATCACTTTTTTAGCGACGACCACTGGGCAGCGCACCAGAGCTGCTCCCATGCCCCCTCTGGCGGTCACGATCTTTCCGGATTTGACCTGCTCCGGAGGGCAGTCGCCAGCTTGAGCAACGGCAGCCGCAAGCTTTTCAGCCGTGACGGAATCGTCCAGCTCATATACTCGCAGCACCACGCTTTTTTGCGGTCTGGACACCGTGACAGCTTCATCTTTCAGGGCCTCCCTGAGTTTTTCAGCTAGGGCATCCGCTTTGGGGCCGCTGGTCGTCCCAGGGACCTCAAGGATGCGGGTACCAGTGCGAGATGCTCTGCACCTGAGCCCAACTATCCCGAGTCCTTGCAGATCGATTGCCGCTTGCGCCTTGGTCAATATACCGGCATACGTGATGCCGGCATCGACGGCCCCTGGCTGCAGCGCCAGCGTTACGGCAGCAGACTTAGGGGTACGCATACTCTTTGCCTGTTGTTTGGTGACCGCCGCCTTCTTACGGGCCGCCTTCGCCACCTTTTTCTTCTCGCCCACTACTTGCCAAGAGCCTTCTTGGCTCGCAGGTATAGTAGACGCCGGTTTCGCGGCAGTAGCGGTCTTCTTTTTCTTCTTCTTTTTCTTTTCCCCAGCCCTGCGATCAGGGGCGGTTTCCGTTGCGGTTGATGTCGGGACTGGTTCCGCGCCACTCTTCTCCGCAGGGGCAGCAGCGGCAGCGGTTGACTTTTTGCCCTTCCCTTTATTGCCAGCGACTGCAGCGGCAAAAGTTCCGGCGGGAACCGTCAACTCATTAGCTGTGGTAGCTGCAGTCGTGGCCGCTCGCTTCTTGTCCGCGGCCAGAGGCGGCCGGAGATTCTCCTTCTTGAGGAGGTGCCCATATCTCGCGTCAATTCTAGCCATGATACGTGAGGTGATCAGGCCGACCAGGGCATCCACTTCTGCTTCCGGGCTCACGGTCAAAGGCGCCGCTGCCGCCCGTTTTTCCCCTTGCGCAGTTTGAGCGCGCAACTCCGCGATCTGACGCTCAGTGGCGAGGAGACGCTCCTGCATCCGCTGGTTTTCATCGCGGAGCCGCCGCGTCTCATCATTCGCCGTCCTTCTGGCCATGGCCTCGATAACATCCTTAAATCCAGCGGCGGCATCTTTTAGTGCCTTCTGGCTGGTTCCCTTCAACTGGCTGGAAGATTTGGCCACCCTCAAGACAGCCTCGGCGTAACTCGACGCCACTGCCACTAGATCTCTGTCTTCCTCACCACCGCTCATTGCAACGAGGCGCGGCTGACTTCCGCATATCTCCGTCGGTTGTTGGGCAAGTTTCTGCTCAGCCTGGGCTTCCGCTGCTGCGTTCTCAGCCTGGGCTTCCGCTGCTGCGAGCTCCGCTTCTGCCAAGCTGCGTTTGGCTGCCGCCAGGCCGACGTACTTTCCTGTGGTCGGAGGTCGGCCTCGCCCCCTCTTTTTAACTTTGGCTTTAGCCGACATTGGCTCGCCCGTCTCTGTCTCAGAGGCTGTCTGGGAGCTATCGGAGAGGTTCTTTCTGCCTCTCTTACGACGCCAAAGACGGCTCGTGTCCTCCTCGCCTGAGGTGGCCGACATGAAACTGATGACGGATGACGATTTAGACAGGCTCCCCGGAACTGGTAGTCTCCTAGGCCTCCCCACCGGACTCTGGAAAGTGTAAGGTGCAGGACTACTCGTCTCCATACCGACATCCTCCACCTGCTCGGGTGCCATAGGCACCTGCTCGTTTTCTTCGCCTGAGCTAGGCCTCTCATCTCCTTGCTCTCTTCCGCCCGAGCTAGGCCCACCAACATCTAAGGGTTTTTTGTTTTTTTGTTTTCTACATTCCATAACTGATCCCACGAGTAGGGCCGATCTAAAAGGTCACTCGCGGGGTGACGCCCATTCCCGCGAGAAGGCAAATACTCCCGGCCAGTGCCACACTCGACCGGGGTTGCCCCGTTAGCGACGTAGCTCCCCCTACGCCACGCATCCCTCGGCACGGTACCACACCTTGGATTTGGGGGCGGTTTTTATTGAGGTCGCCAGCCTCGTAGTCCAGACGGTAAAGCCAAGACCCCCGGTCCCCCCCTAGGGGGAGAAAACGGGTTGAGAGGCGCGAAGCCCCTCCGGCCGGCGGTTAAGCCGACCCCACCAACCTCTCAGTCTTTCGACTGACTTCCTCCTTCAGTCCCGTCCACTGTGCCCTCTACTACACCAGAGGGACACGCAGAGTGACGCTCCTCCTGCGCCGCTCTTAGTCTGGCTCCTCACCCCAAGCCTGACCGGTATGGCAGAACCTGCCGGTATAGCCTTGGAGATCATTGGAGCACGCAAGCCCCCCCACCACGACAAGGTGGCGGCCCCCCGGGGGGGTAATAATGAGGATAAAGAAATCTTTGTTTTCTCCGCTGATTAGACGAAATGATTTGTGATGAGAAAATTTACATCGAACTAATTTATATTTATCAAAGCGAACTACAGATTGTTTTTCTTTGATGTCAAGTAATATTCGCTATTGGAAATGGTTTCTTGATCATTTTTATATAAAATATAGTTTACATGACTTTAAAACCCCTATTATGGAACTTACAAGAGTTTCAAATAACGTCTCAGTGAAGTGTCATTATATGACTTGCTAGCTTGTTCTCTTATTATGCTGACTAGTAATGAAAATCCGATCCAATACTCAGCGATATTATAATACGGGTTGTTGAATGTTGTCCTTGACCTACAGTTATTTGGGCCGGGTGTGACGACAGTGTTACTGTCTACTTATCCGATCTCAAACCGGAATGCAGCAAGCCAAACAAATTTGCAAGTAATCAATGTACATGCGCCATTGTATCTGATGTAATACTGCCTGAGTTGGTTCGTGTGATATTAAATAAATATGAATATCTGGTTATATTATAATTGATTATCTTTGATGAATATTAAGACTGATTTTCGATAAGTGGGGCTATTAAATAATTATTTTTGGAAATTGTTACTAACAAAATATATGTAATGTATGCAGTATGTATGAAAAACGAAATAGGAAAAATTGAAATATTAATGAATCAACTTGTAGTAAAATATTTTCTCAAAATATACAAGCTTTAACATGAGAGTTTCATACGAAACTCCTGAACAGTTTTAATTAGTGGCAGAACCACAAACATGTTTGCCCTAACAAACTTTAGAAAAGATTTTTAATAATATCTAGATGTTAATTTCGCTTTACAGTGTTTGTTCTGAGCTCAGGTTGCAACAAATGTAGGTTTAACGAAATGTAAATAGTTATCTTTACACTCATAATTTTATTATGATCGTATAATAAGGTTAATCTACAGGACGAGTTTATAAATATATTTCGCAGATAAAATAAGAAATACCAATGCTAATAAAGGTATTTACCGATTGAAAGTATTGGGATAACGGAAAATAAATTTACCGAGAGCTACTTCAACGTGGCGCAGAATGTTCGAACATTTGAGACTTTCTTTTTTACTGTAAATAGAGAAGAAACACAAATAAAATGCACTGTAAAATAAATTCGAGTTCATAAACTGTGAATGAATCTCATTTCCATGAAATAATAGAGCTACCTTTTCCTTGCTGCTAAAAAGTAAAATAAAATATGTCTGAAATGTACGTGTTCAGTAAAATGTTGTTGCTGGCTGGCGTTTAGGAAATTATTTTCTTGTTTGAATTTAATTTGTCATACAGATAGACGTTGGACATGGCAGAAATTGGGGATTATGTTCCGTATTCTGCATGCAATAAACATTACAGCCTAGCACACCGTAGGCACTCAGTTTCGCCTTTATGCAAAACTAACAACCTTGCACGGCTTGTCTTCCCGGCCGGTTGAAATTATGTGATTATTATACAACGCAGGTCTTTGACTAAAGAATTAAAGCAACTTCTATTAAGTTGTTTCACTACAATTAGATTTGTGAATTACGTTCATAAATATTGATTTAAAATGTTTAATTTATATAATGGCTGGTTTTTAATTTTGTGCAAGTGCAAGTTTATTTTCGTCTTAAACAAAACATGTTTTCAAATATCTTTTTTGACATTTTCCTTATTTCATTATTCACCGATCTTTTTAGAATAATAATATTCTAAAAAAAATATCATAGCTATTCATTTCGTTCTTAATACAATAATTGGTATTATAAAAAACGAGACAAATCTTTTCTTCAAGTACGTTTCGAGAGGGTCCAAGGAGAGATCGATGTTCGGCCCCCAGAGCCATTAGCCGTTTTATCTGATCCGATGGAACTCTGCCCAGATTATAAAGGCGGTAGTTAAGTTCAGATATTTTTATCTCTCGCTAATTTCTTTATGGAGAGCGGAGAACCTTTATAATGTTTGTTTTATTGTTCTCTTTCATTGTTTAAACAATAATTTAAAATAATAAAAATCTAAATACCATTGAAGATTGTTTTGTATATATACAACAGTTATACCAAATATATAATATATAAATTATCAATTTAGAATATTTTAAAGTCTAGTAAATAAAAATCAGAAAGATAGGATCTATTCCTTGGTAAGGAAATCGTTCACCTGGAAACTGCCATCATAAAAGCTTTCACATTCCATAATCCCTGGCTGAAAGAGCGTTAAATTCCAATTTTATCTAGTTGGGCTTACATCAACTTTTCATAGTTCGAAAAGTACGCCTTTCCCAGATCAAAACACTTAACAGGAAGAAAAGTTTCAAGTATATTCGGCACGCTTAGCCAAGTATCAGCAGATGTGCATTTTATATTTGCTAGCCTCAGTGTAGGATAATTTCGTTCTTTAGGATTCGTAAATCATTTCATTTAAAAACCAAATTGAAATTTTATTGTATATATATTTTTACGAAAATTTTAATTATGTGTTACATCTTTTTAGGTCCATCATCAGGCACGTTTATAGCCATGACTTTTCTTATTATGATACGATAATAAATACAGACTTACCAGACTTCGACACGCGATAACGTAATCCTCTCCCGCCTTTGGGATGACTCCTATAAGTACCGAAGTCACCGTAGTTATTATTGACGCGGCTGTAATCCGCTAAATGTCTGTTCCCGTCCAAATGGTTAGGAAGCGATCTGTTCCAGCCCATAACGTCACCGACAACCGAGCCGCAAACCGATGATTCGGTTTGGCTTTTCGTTTCGCCATTGCAGAGGTCACCACTGGAGCGTGCCCGACGGCCCTTCAGACCCTTAGCCGAGTGCTGGCTGATGTTTGAGCCCATAGCGAGGCGGGACCTCACGAAGGCCCCGCCGCCCGCATCGCGCCAATCGTCTTGAGATTCACTTTCGCTCTCTTTGCATGCGTCGTTATCTGGAAAATAGTTTTATTTAAAAAATCTTAATATGAGGAAAATCAACTAACATATATTACATATCAATTTATATAACAAAGTTATTGGTGTTTCCATTTCAGGTCAGATTTTCAATAAATTTCTAAAGATATTTGAAACAAATTTCTCTAGTGGCTTTAAATCGTTCAAAGTGTAGTAGTGTTTTGTCACAAGAGAAAAGAAAGATAAGACATAAATCTTCTTACTTTAACTGTAAGTCAAGTTCCGTAAACTTTTATCTCTAAAGGCATTGTAACTTTCTACTAGAGCTATACTGTTGTTGTTAAAGATATACATAATTATATCTTAAAGTATTTAAGTACTTTAAACTCTTCTCTAAAGTGCCTTTATTCCGTTTCTCCTACAGATAATTATTTTCATAAATAGTCCCCCAATAACCGTCTGTGTAATTTACATAGAACATTATTGAAACCAATGTATTGTTCGTAATACAATTTATGGCTAGACTGTTTAATAACATGATACCTAAGCATTGTTTACTTTATAATTAGAGCATATCCAGTTATCTTGAATGTGATGGAGCGTGGTAGCGACCTTTTTGTCATGCGAAGGCGTCCTTGCTATTGTTTGAGTCGACTGTTTGTTTGCCACCGAGATAATTTAAGGTAATTTATATTGCAATGCATATTTTATTCAATGAACCTAAACCTACTTGTTTATAAAATGTACAATGTATACTTAGTATCTAAATTACACAACCTCGAAGTTTTCAACACACTTTAAATATAAAAAAATATAACCCAAATACACGTGGTATAAATTATCACACATAATTTTATAGCTGAATCCTGTAAAGTTATTGCACGCACGCATATAAAACAAAGGGTTATAAACGTTTTATTATTGTAAAACGTAATTAATTTGATGAACTTTAATAACAGAATGAAAAGAAATATAAAACTCTCAGTTGATTCAGTGGCGAAAATGGAATGCGCCCTCGATTCGGTCACAATTCGCAATGAAATCTCGCAAAGACAATTAAGAGCTCTCACAAATGAGTCGGGGCGTTTTCCTTTAACTTTACTACGTCATAACGGTTCTTTTAAATCGGTTTGGTAATCTAGAAGTTTATATAAGATCTTTTTGGAATTGATATTCAGTAAAAAGCTTTTTGGTATCTCATATATAAATAAAAAAAAAATCTTAGCCAAATTATTGTTGTCACATAGTTACTTTGAATGTATTAGATGTTTAAATTAATAAAAAAAGACTGGCAATTTAAATTTGTTTTTAGTATAAAACCTCAAACTTAAAAACAATTTATTGATCTAAGGTAAACTGAAGTTGCGCTGAAAGTATTTACATAAGTCCAGCGAATCAAGATAAATTTTGTATATAAATTCATAGGGATACCTTTTTGTAAATCTCTATTTTCCAGTCGAATTTCCGTCTAAGAAGTAATAAATATATTTTAAACTTTATTTGAAGTATATTTTTTCCTTGTATGGACTGTATTAAGAATATATTGTCAATCCAGAGTAATATTATGGTTTGTATTAAAATTAATAGTTTTGACAAAAAACAAATATTTTTACATTTACTATTTTGATTTGATGACCATATCATCAACGAATCAGAATAACGTTAGATTGACCAAGACCAATTTGACTATTAAATATTCATATATATAAATATTTATTGTCTGTTTGTTATGCAAATTATATTCATTGCATATTGTTTTTACGCGATGTATGACAAAACTTAGCTTAAAATATTTTTGCTCGTATGTTTTTGTCGATTGATTGTGGATTCGAGGAACACTTAAGTCTCATTTATTCTCAAGAAGACCAAACAAGATACATACCAATGAATTAAATAATCTGATTGGTCCTAATTTGAGTAAACTTATTTTATTTGAACGCTACACAATGTCGAATTACATTAATTTTCAAATAATTGTTAAACTCGTTTATTCCGAATAAATATTTCTCAAAATACCATTACGAAATCGTTAGTATAAACGATTTATAAAACAGGAAACTAATTTAATACTGATTAACCTGCGTAAAATCTTCTCTGACTTAATTATTATTGTAATTCTCCAAGTTTATGAACAGAACTAATTAGGTTCCTCCAATATATTAGACTTTAATGCCGCTATAACAATGAATCAGGCAACTATCTGATGTACGTTTTAAACTATCCTTACCATCAATATCTTCTTAGACATGCCAATTCTACGTGGAGCGATCTCTCCGAATGAATAATAAATTGCTTTCCTCCGAAATAATTGCTTCGTATTAAACTCACGTATATTATTGTAAAAACTATTTCAGTATAAACAATTTCAGTCCATAGTCCATACGATCTTACGAATTCGTCAATATCCTTGTACATAAGTTAAACTTTTAAAAATCACACACTTCAGAGTATGTTATATTAAAAAAATATTTATGTATTGAGTATATTAGGTTAGTACTTATCTCAACGTAATGCTTTCATTTAAATATAGGCCTTTGTCCCACAACTCTAATTACTACTTAAGAACTAGGCTATAAATAGCTCTTTGTTGTAAAGTAAATGTTGTATTAGTAATGAATGAGTTATTTGTTCAAACAAGAGTATGTATATTATTCAATATGTATAATTATGTAGCAACTAAAGTTATACAATTATATTAAATAAATATTTAAAATATTACGATATAGCTAGGACTCTTTTTTCTTACTTAACCGATAAGGTTTATTTTGTGTTCTTTCATATTTCTCTAACGCCTAGCGTATTTTACGCCTAATATATAGGAACAGTTAAAAATTATTTGATTCAAAAACCTTAAATTACATACAAAATAGAAACAGAAAAGCGACATGTCAGGATACAAGTTAAAGATATCGATCTGGAACTTGTACAAAATAATGTAAATAATACAGTTAGTTATAGAATCGAATTTCAATTAAGGTGAAGTGAAGTTAAACAGGGAAGGGTTGAAAGCATTCCAAGAAATCCATCGTCTTCATTCGTCTGAGAACTACTTCGGTTCACTTTCGTTTAATGGAAATCGTAAAATAAATCCATTTGAGATGCAAAACTGAAATACGGATTTCTAAGGTACATCTTTTTATAGGTCATCGTGGGTGCGATGCGGTTCAAATAGGATTAAGGTATTATTAACTTTTTCCAAGCGGCGAGAAAATTGAAATATATTGAATAAGGATTATTAGTGAATGTAACGAGAGGAATTGCTTGTTGAATATTTAGTTACACTAAGTTATAACGGTAAGACGAAATAAGAAAATGTTTACTAGATGTTAATAAATTTTAATATGACTAAAATACGAGCAAGTATTATAACGTTTTGTATTGATAGGTTGCTCGTACCTTCAACAACAAAATTGAACTATTCATATTCTATCAAAAAGTAATAGATAACTTGTGAGATTAAAAAATACATAAAGCAACGTTATATGACTTGTTAGGTTAATGAGAGTTTTGAAGACATTTTTCTACAGTTCTCAAGATTATAATTTGTCCAACGAATAAAAACATTGAAATTGGAAATATATTCCACAATTCCTGTGTAAATAAAGCCAGAGCATTATAATAAGGAATTTTTCTTCTTTAATACCACAACTAAAGAATAGTTACAAGAAACAATTTGACTACAAATATACAGTTTAAGTTTACTTTCTTTTCTTTGTAACAAAAGAAGGTATTTTTGACTATCACGTTTACTAATCTTTAGTCGTTTCTAATAAAAAGTATCTTCAGCTGTAGTTAACAAATATTCCTTAACTTTATACATTTTATTCGACGTTAATTTCATTGTAAAATTTTGTTAATGCATCACTTTACCTTCAAAGATTTCAACAGAAGAGAAAAACACACAATTTATATACATATATACTTGGTATACACAAGTCATCACATTAATAACTATTTGAAATACAATTGCTTCTGTAATTGAGATTAATCCAATGTTCACTTAAAGCCAGTATATATATAACAAGCTAATGGGTCGTTTAAATTCCTTGGCTAATAAAATTTTCTCATTGCATTTGTGTATAAGAGTGCTTTTCTTGATAAATATTAAAACAAAATGGAAATATCTGTCGTTAAGAAGCAAATTATTTTTTTATTAAATCTTTTTTAGTTAACGAAACAGTTCGAAGATATTTTTTTTCAGTCGTTTATAATGCAGACCATGATCGATATTTTACAGTGTCGTTCGGTTCTAAGTGATAATTTTCGTGGTTTTAATTTTGTCATGCTCCAATTTCTTACAGATAACGCTTAGCGAAAAAAAAAGGTTTCAAGTCTAAAACTAAAATTTTGCAACGAACGTTCGAAAAGAGTTCCGTGATCAAATTTATGTATATATATATAATAATCTTATATATACATATAAATGAATCCCTTTTTCCCTCGGTCACGGCATCACGTGTGAATGGCTGGACAGATTTCACTAATTCTTTTTTTGTTGTATTTTTTATTATTAGGAGAACATCCTTATGTAAGAAAAAAATACGAAAATTACTAGAAAAAAACAAACTACAATATTTCACTTTTTTATTAAAATAATGTGTCACTGGCAGTAATATTCACGTAGTTAGGATAATAAACACTCGTCGTGTGCACGTTGTTCCCAACGGAGGCCGCACACACGATGCCAGCAGGCAATCCTCGCGAGTTGGACCGGTCGGAAGCCATACCGGCCGTAACCCTGGAAGAGCTCGAGAGATCCCTGTCGCGACTCAGAGCCAAAAAGACCGCCCCTGGGCCGGACGGCGTCCCTGGATGCGTCCTGGCTCTCGCCCTGGGCGAGTTGGCTGAGTGGTACTTGGGGATCCTCAATGGGTGTTTAAGGGCGGGCCGCTTTCCATCTCCTTGGAAAGAGGGGAGGCTCGTCCTGCTCCAGAAGGGAGGAAGACCTGCAGACTCGCCGTCTGCATATCGTCCCATCGTCCTGCTAGACGATGCGGGGAAGCTCTTCGAGCGGATCCTCGCGTCCCGTGTCGTCCGA